TCAAACTCCAGATGAGTTAAAAGATAGTAACTTGAGTTTGAACAACTGAAGACATGCCTTAGTAACAAAGCAGGAACAGGAAAAGCTTGAGCAGCTGCAAATTAGTGATTATCAAAAACCAATATCTCAAACAGCACAGTCTCGCATAATATCAAATCAAGAGGTCTCCGAAACAGACAGGATGGAGTAACGAAAAACTCCATCATCTTATATGATTGAGTAACAGAAAACTCAATCATTCAATAGGATTGAGTAACAGAAAACACTATCATTAAACATGATCCAGTAACAGAAAACTTGATCATCAACCAGGATCGAGGTATTCGATCATCAAACCGAAGGCACTTGAAAGAGCCAATGGAAATTAGCAGTGCATCAACAAGCACAATAGGACCTTAGATTCAGAGTTAAGAACAGTAAGATTCAAAGAAAATAAAAAACGACTCGGTAGAGTGACAGATCAGAGAGTCAAACACGACTCAGGTGAGACAAATCAGAGAAGCGAAACACGGTTCGGAAGAGAGACAGATCAGATAATCGAAACACAACTCGAAGGCTATTTTGCAAATAGTACAGATCGACAGCTTTCAGAGGTCATTTTCAGAGGTGGATTTAGAGGTGGGTTTCAAATTCGGCTCATTAAGGATCCGACATCAGAGGGGAGCACGCAGCAATGGTTTACCTGAAGAAATGGGTAATGACATATGGTTTACAGATCACAGAGATCAGATTTTTTCTACTATGAAGAAAATGGTATAACAACGATTGCTACCAACAATAAAAGCTCAGGTGATATAAGTAAATAGTATCGTCCTTCAAGGTCAGATCAAATAAACAGAATGGTCCACCAAGGCACAATAGACCATAAGGCCAAACACAGTTTCTTTTTTTTTTCCTTTTTTTTTTAAAAAAAAAAAAAATTTGTACATCTTTGTGAGATAAATTTTGGGTTTTGCTTTTGCTTTTTCAAACAAAGGCAAATCACTGGAAGGCTTCAAGGAAAAGTACTGGAATTTTAAATTTTTTTTTCTTTTTTCTTTTTCTGAACGAAAGAAAGCAAGTGAGAATAGAGATGAAAAAGAACAGGAAGTAGCAGGAGGTAAAGAGAAGTGGGGACTAGAGAGAAAGTATCGAGGATATGGGAGTTAGAGAGAGAGGGTAGAGAAGTACGAAATAAACAAAGATGATGAATGAAGAGAGAGAGAAGGGTGGCCAATAAAAAATTAAAAAGGAGAGAGTCAAAGTTTTACTTACAAAACAAAAATGATTCAAACGTGAGGAGAGGATCACAATTACCGGTTTCTCTCTCTAAATTTTGAAAGAGCTAGAGAAGAGATGGCTCCAGAGAAGCTTCTCAAGGCTTAAAGCATATCAGTGATGGCTCTACCGCCGTCAAACACTTACCTTTTTGTAGGACTAAACAAAGGCCACATTGTCACCAAAAAAGAGATTGCTCCTTGCCTCTCAGATAGAAAAGGGAAAAACACTAAAAGACCACTATTTGTTAAGAGCTTGACTAGGGAAGTCGTGGGCTTTGCGCGTTATGAGAAGAGAATTACTGAGTTGTTGAAAGTTGGGAAAGATAAGCATGCATTAAAAGTGGCAAGAGAAAGAGATCAATTAGAGAGAGAAGTGGGACGTCCACAGTGTAGAGAGAGAGATAAGGAGATTGAGAGAGAGAGAAAGTTGGAATCTGATAGAGATAAGAGGCACTGATAAGAAAGAGAGAGAGAGAGAGAGAGAAAGAAAAAAGATAGAGAAAGTAGGGATCTGATAGAGATAAGAGGCATTGATAAGTGAGATCTAAAGATCTGAGAGTGGAGAGAGACTAAAAGATAAGGGAGAGATATTTGAGAGATAAGAGAGAAAAGATCTGAGTGACCACGAAGTAGAGAGACAGTGAGACCGAGAAAATAGAGAATGAGACTGTGAAACCGAGGAAACATAGAGAGAACGAGAGAAACTGAGATTGAGACCGTGAGACCAAGAAAACAGAGAATGAGAGAGAACCTCAAGGTTATTGCAGAGTTTTAGCTCTCTTCTAAAGACGAGAGAGAGAGAGAGAGAGAGAGAGAGAGAGA